ATTCAGACCCCCTTCAATTTTTCACTCTTTGTTATATTGCAGTCATTTGCTAAAATCATTTAAGTTATTTTTTTTTTCCTCATTAATGTACACACAGTACCCCATATTGACAGAAAAACACAGCATTGTTGACATTTTTGCAGATTTATTAAAAAAGAAAAACTGAAATATCACATGGTCCTAAGTATTCAGACCCTTTGCTCAGTATTTAGTAGAAGCACCCTTTTGATCTAATACAGCCATGAGTCTTTTTGGGAAAGATGCAACAAGTTTTTCACACCTGGATTTGGGGATCCTCCTTCATTATTATTTATTATTGTTTACCCACAAGAAAATACTGTTACTGTGAAATAAGGTTTTGGTCACATCACACTAGGGATGTAACGATTAACTGCGAGCCAGTTGAAAATCGATTTAAATATGTGACGATTCAAGCAAATCACGATTCAATTAGGGGTAGGAGTTTATATAATTGTATGTCTGAGGGGAACTTACTATTTGCGTCTTTCAATGGTATTTTTTCTTTTCCTCTTGCCTCTGTATAATACATATTAAAGTTCATAAGTGCAGGCTGTGCAGCACTGCTTTGTTTACAGCGGAAATCAAGGAAACTTTAAGCGCCACCTGCTGGCAGAGAGTGAATCTGTGTCTCATACAGCTCGTCTGCTGTTTCAGTTTCATGCAGATATTTTTATGTATAGTTTCACAAAACTGAAGTCAAACCATTCTGTTTTTGCCTCAAATTTTGAAATTATACAATGCAATTTAGATCAAAAACTGCTCATGTTGCATGTATGCAGCATCTTCGTTTGGATCATGATTAAAATGCAGTGGTTGCCTTAGTTTGTTTATATGAAGAGATTTCTTTTATTTGTTATTTATTTGATTTGGGGCTTGTTGTAAAATTTAAATTTAGTTTTACATTTACATTATATTTCAATTTGGTTATTTAGCAAACACTTTTATCCAAAGCGACTAACAAATGAGGACAATCGAAGCCATCAAAACCAACAAAAGAGCAATAATTTACAAGTGCTATATTAGTGTATTATTATAGTGTTATTTCAATTTCACAAAGAAACGTACCGTATTTTGTCTAAGCAATAATAAAAGGAACCATTTAATTCATAATTTGTCTTGAATCTCATTTTGTTAAAAAAAATATTGTGAATCGAATCGTGAGTTGAGTGAATCGTTACATCCCTACATCATACACCTCTAGAATGATCTTTGTGTCATTGTTCAGCTTAGTACTTGCAAAAAAATGATGAACTTGTATGGGACATGTTTTAGAAAATGACCACCTTCCAGGCCATGCAAATATAAAACAGCAGTGCAATCAAAGACTGACCACCAGTGTTCTTTTTCCAAGCCTGACCTATTTACTTTACCAGTTACGGTTTTAGTTTATTTTTGACCTCTCTGTGTCTGCTTTTGCTCTGTAGCACTATTTAACTGATAATTAATTAAAAGTAAAAGGCAGCTTTTCTAAAATTGTGACTTTTTGTGTGTGTGTGTCTAATATTTTACCCATCTGTCCATAGAAATGGCTGCAGGCGAGCAACCTACCCAAAGAGGTGTACCAGCACTTGGCCTGCTACGTCCCCAAGATCTACTGCCTGGGCCCCAACCTGAACCCTCAGAATGAAGACCTGCTGGCTCCGCTGCTACTTCAGAGCCCGCTGGAGTGGTACCTGTGCGGGGAAGAACCGTCCGTGGGATTGGCCAAGCTGGAACAGAACAACCAGCCCTCACAGCTCTGTGGCCACGTGTTTAAAGTGGGAGAGCCAACATACTCTTGCAGGTACAATGTCAATACTTCATCTCTTCTTGATCCTAGAAGGCACTAAAGACAAGCAATCACGGCTCGGTTCCAAAACTCAATGAGCTGCTCGCTGTCTGCTTCCTAGACAGATGATTTAGTAGGTTTTGGAACCAGTCAAAAGTTTGGAATAATTTTTTTGAAAAGTCTGTTATGCTCACTAAGGCTGCATTCATTTGCTCAAAAATACAGAAATGTTATTACTATTTTTTTTTTTTTATTACCAACTGTTTTCTAATTTAATATATTTTATGGCAAACCTGAATTTCCAGCATCATTACTGCAGTCTTCAGTGTCACATGATCTTTCAGAAATCATTCTCTTCAAATAAATTCTGTTCTTTTGAACTATCTATTCATCAAAAAATCAAGTTTTCCACAAGAATATTAAGTGGTAAAAACAGTCTTCAACATTGGTAATAAAAACCATTATTAAAAATTTAGCATCAAAATTGAGCAGCAAATCAGCATATTGGAATGATTTCTGAAGGATCATGTTACACTGAAGACTGAAGAGTAGGGCTGGGTATCGAGTTCGATACTTTTTAGGCACCGACCGAATTGCCTCGATACCATTGAGTATCAAAAAACGTCTTGTCGTTCGGTACCAAATTTCGATACCTAGGGGGTTAATCTCATCAGCGTCAGTGAGCCAATAAGCCTGCAGCACACTAGCCAGTGTGTTCGACTAGAAGAGGTGCGGCGCAGATCGATCATCCGCGAGAGCGATTCGAAAACGCACGGAGCAGTCTGCTCTCTTTAGCTCTCGTGGTACTGTACCAGTATAGAGTAGTGCGGGAGCTGCGTGGAGTTCTGATCATATGCAGATGTCCATTCATACTAACGTTACACGACCGAAAGTGCGTGTTATGTGACCATTCATGCAAACTGTAGCATCATGCTACATAAGACAATAAATAAGATTTATATTCCGCTTTTACTCAAAACTCACTTTAAACCACCATCAAGTGTTTGTA